CCAATATTCTCCCACTTGGGCAAATATTTGATCGCTATATCAAGATTTTTCACACTCGGGTTAGACTACATAGGTGGCCACAAAAGTATAGCTCCAATGATGACACCTTACGTAATATAATCTGATCCAACAAGAATATTAACACCAAACATGGAAGTCATTACACCAATTAAGCGATGTAAGACCATTTCACAGCTACAAATGCCAACATCCTTATCGACATGGATCCCCATCCTCCAACCAATGTGGTAGTATGTGGTATGAACTTAGCACCAAATGTTATAAAAAATTGTGCTAATTCACATCGGTCCTCATAATGCTTCAGATCAAAATGAAGCAACATGTCTCTAAAAGAGACTTATCTTATGTCTTTATCTGTCATATCTCGAGATCACAATAATATCATAATAAAAAGACATAAGTCAAATGCATGCTAAAAATAGTTTATGGATAGGAGGAAAATATTTTATTATCAGAATGGATTGTACCCCAAAAAATATGGGTTATCTATGTACCCTGTAAAGAAATCAAGCGCAAAACGTAGTTCTCTTACATAAATAACTCTCACTAACAAAAAAAAAATCAAATGTTTCCACAATGCTCATGTTAGCTACATGTGTCTTAAAGACTTTTGGAGCGAGTCCCTTAGTTAAGGGATCTGCAATCATTGCCTCTGTATTGATATGCTCTATTTTCATTTGCCCTTCCTTGACTCTGTCTCTTACCATCAAATATTTTATTTCAATATACTTTGATCCACCAGAACTTTTATTATTCTTTGAAAAAAACACTGTTGCACTATTATTACAGTATATGTGATTGGTATGGAATCAACAACTTTTAAATCAGAGATGAAATTTCTTAACCAAATGGCTTGGATTGTAGCCCCATAACACGCCATAAATTTTGGTTGCATAGTAGAAGATGTCACTAGAGTCTGTTTAGCACTTTTTCAAGAAATAACACCACCAGCTAATGTAAAATTATAACCTGAGGTTGATTTCAAATCATCTTAACGTCCAACAAAATCAGAATCTGAATATCCTACCACCTCAAGATGACTTGAACACTAAAATGTAAGCATATAACTTTCAGTTTTCTTCAAATATCTCATAACTTTCTTAGCTGTTTTCCAATGCTCTTGTCCTGGATTAGATTGAAATCTGCTAAGGACACTGACTGCATAGGCTATATCCAACCTAGTGCAAACTTGAGCATACATTAAGCTCTCTACAGCACTTGCATATGGAATCATCTTCATAAATTCCCTTTCTAGCTCATTCCTTAAATATTGAGTTTTGTTAAACTTATCTCCTTTTATGATAGGTACATCATCAGGTGCACAGTTCTGCATATTAAACCTTTCTAGAACACGTCGTATATAAGTTTTTTGAGAAAGTCCCAGTAAGCCACGATTTCTGCCACGATGTATTTCAATGTCAATTACATAGGAAGCTTCTCCAAGATCTTTCATCTCAAATTTAGCAGACAACATTTTCTTTATCTCATAAAGCAACCCCAAGTTACTGCTAGCAAGTAAAATGTCATCAACATATAGGACAAGAAAACTAAAATTTCTCCCACACTGGTTTTAAGATAAATGCATTGATCAACAGTATTTTCAACAAAATCAACAAGAGACGTCACAACCTCGTCAAACTTCAAATACCATTATCGAGATGCTTGCTTGATACCATATAAGGATTTGTTTAACTTACATTCCAAGTTTTTCTTTCCTTTTACAACGAAACTTTTAGGTTGTCTCATGTAAACGTTTTCAGAAAGATCTCTACTCAGAGAATTTATCTTAACATCCATTTGATGAAGCTCCAAAATTATAGTGTACCACAAGAGCCATGATAGTTCAATAAGAATCTTTCGACGAAACAAGGGAGAAGGTTTCAACATAATCAATGCCCTATCGTTGAGTGAAACTTTTTGCAACCAATCTTGCCTTCTTTCATTCAACATTTTCTTTTGAATCTAATTTACTTCTGAAAATCCACTTGTTATCTATAAATTTAGCGTCTGGAGAAAGTTCAACAAGATCTCAAACTTTATTCTTGTCCATAGAATTCATTTCATCTTCGATAGCATTTATCCATTTATCTGCCTCAGGACTCATCAATGTTTGATTATAGGTTATAGGATCAACAGTATGCCTAATATTAAAATCACTTTCCAATAAATATGTAATATAATTATTGGGCAATACAGATTTCGTTTCCTTTGCGATTTCCTAACTTGTGGCTCAGAAATTGATCTGATTGTTGTTGGAGGAATTGGAAGATCCCATTGGTTTCTTGGTTCTTCATTAACGACTTCAACTGGTTAAGAACCGACTTTTTCTTGTTTTACAGGAACTAGAACAACTTGATTTGGTTCAACAAGAATTTCTTTCAGTGTGGAACTCCCACTATCTCCAAAATCATTCTACAGAAACTTAGCAGTAATGGATTCCACAATTCTAGTACTACGATTTGGATAGTAGAACTTATATTCCTTTGATATGTTTGGATACCCAATAAGAAACTAAGAGTGGATTTTGAGTTTAATTTCATTTTCAAATCGATTTTAAATCCAAACATCAGCTGGACATCCCAAAATTTGAAATGAGCCAAACTTGGCTTACGTCCTGTCCATAACAGCTTTATTTGGAACCCTGTTCAAAGCTTTACCCCATAGATATTCTGACAAATTGATTCTCCTCATCATATTCTTAACCATATCTTTTAGAGTCCGATTAAGTCTTTCAAAAACGTCATTCTGCTCAGGTGTCCCTAGCATGGTGTATTGGGATATTATTCCACACTTCGGTAAAAACTTTACAAAATCACCCATGTTTTGACCAGACTCATCATATTTGCCATAGTGATCACCACCACGGTCAGATCTTACAACCTTAATAACTTTTCTACATTGTTTCTCTACTTCCAATTTGAAACTTTTGAATTTCTCAAGTGCATGTGATTTATCCTTAATCAAGTAAACATACCCATATCATGAGAAATCATCAATAAAGGTTATGAAGTATTTGTTCCCACATATGGTCGAAGGCAAAGGTCCACTAATATCAGTATATATCAAGTCCAAAATATCATTACTCCTAGTCGAACCTTTCCTTATAGACTTTGTTAATTTTCCTCTTATACAATCCTCACAAGTGTTAAAGTCAGAGAAGTCTAGAGGGAAAAGTATCTAAGTTCTTACCAATCTTTCTATTCTATCCCTTGAAATGTGACCCAATCATTTATGCCACAACATAGATGACGATTCATGAATTAGAGCCATTTTCTTTGATACATTGGTAACACAAGAGACTTTACAAAAAGGAGCCGAAGACAATTTATATAAACCATCACATAAAAGTCCATTCCCAATCAAATGAGAACCCTAAAATAACTCAACATTTCCATTACCAAAGCTAAAAGAAAAACCACAAGCATCTAGTTTCGATATAGAAATTAAATTCCGTTTCATTTGTGGCACAAAAACTGTATTTTCCAAAACAAGAGAAGAAACCAGACTCTAAAGTTAACTTCACTAATCCTATAAACTTAACCTCCAATTGAAATCCATTTCCAAGACTCAAGCTCACTTCATTCTCACTTGGCCCTCGTTTGCTTGTGAACCCCAGCAAGGAATTCTCAATGTGAATACTAGTTCCAAAGTCTAAACACCAGGAATTCAAAGGCACATCTACAAAAGAAGACTCAAAACAAACTAAGGCCAAGGGAATTTTAAGATCATTTAGCTTAGATGATATATTTATCATTTTCATAACATACTCCCTAACACCACTTGTACTATCATATTTCATGCTCATCAATTTATCCATCAGATCCCCAATTTCGACTTTATCAAACTCAATAAATTTCTCTCCTATAGAATCCATAAATTTTTTTTTTTTTTTGGCATTTTCATTATCGGTGATGACACCTAGAATGGAATCAGATATCGATCATTTAATGATTTTCAAACAGAGTTTGTTGACCCTTTCCCACTTTTCATACTTTACTACATATTCAACAATACTCTTATATGTGGGTTTCTCAAGCCTTTTCTCCATTGCAAAATTCAAGTCCAAAAGACCAAGTGCTATTTCTACATCTCGTTTCCATTTCATATAATCATTTTCCAGTCAAGGTTCAATAGCAGACAATTGACTCGAAAGAGATGAGGCGTTATAAAATGTGGGAACATGAAATATCATACTAAATATCATCTAAACATAATGAATGCAGTCAAATGGATGATAAAATATTCAACTAATTACCATAGGCAATTAATTAGATAATCTGTAATTAAATCAAAAGCATATGGATGTCATTACGATAAGAGCCTAGATGCATCATCATAAAGTTACCTTTAGGTTGACAGTACAACATGCTATGAGGTATTCTTAAAACACATCGTATAGCTAGTTAACAAAATCACATTGGTTTTCGAAATTCTAACACCTTTGGGCAGAAGGAAATTTCTAAACAAAAGTAAGCTCGTTAACCGCCTTATGCCATTTTTCAAAAATATCACATATAATAACATCTTTGGACAAGATATTATATGCAATAAATAAATATTGTTGATAAAAAATATTTTTTTTATCGTAGAGAAAATTGAATAAATAATAATGAGTGTGCCACTTTGACAGCTACCACCCATTTTTATTTCAAAATATTTCTCTTGGTGGGGAAAATAAAGATCGTCTCAATGCCCATGAAAAATTCAATCACAAAATAATAATTATACAACAAATCATAATTATAAATTTATGAAAGGACAAAGATCATATGTGATTGAGAGACGAAATGGGCAACAAAATTTTAATATATATGAAAAATGAAACGTAAGCACACAAAATCATAGAAAAATATTTTAACGAGAGTATAAAAATTGTCAACCGATTTTATTTATTTATCTATATAATATAACTTTAAATGGGTCATTATTAAATAAAATTTTATTTGGGTCAAAATTAAAATTTTGGGGCCAAAGCTTTTGAAGGCTCAAATTTAATACCAAAAATTACATCTTAAACCTAGATTTAAAATTAAAACTAGGTCCTTCATTATTAAAAAAATGCATGACAGGTCCTTATTTTAAAAATTACAGTGTGACCCTATTCTCTTAATTGTAGATAGAGGCCTTTAATCTCACAAATTGCAACAGAGGCCCCCGTCCCCAAACTACCACGGCCGACCGAAGCAGGTTGCTCCAATTCTGCCCTTTTTGGCCCTTTATTTTTTTTTCTTTTTATCCTCGTCTAATAGGAAGAAACCAAATTCATCAGATGCAATATTTCTCCAATTCTCATCTAAGTAGATCATATGCCCACTATCCAGATATGGTCTATAGACCTCACAAATTGAGAACAGAGGTGAACCACCAAAAGCTTAGCCCAAAAACTCTAAATCCATCCCACATGCAGTTATGCGGAAGAAGATCGCACAAAGACCAAGTCTTCATCACAAGAGAAGGAAACGGGTATGTTGCAATTGGGATTTTGGAATTCTTTATAAAATCACGAAAAAACAATTACAAAATCACAATAAAGCAATAGCACAGCTACATGCCATTTCGCTTTTGTGGATCATGAAAATCCCAAATTTTGTCACCCTCCACATACAATATTCATTGTGCAGTTTGTATATGTATATAATATATGCACAGAAAACGTGGAAACAGTAATGCAAAACTTTTATTTATTTAATATTATTATTGTTTGATTTCAAAATTTGAAAACATAACAATTTCAAAGATTTAAATTGACGGGTAACGAAAACTTAAGAATTATTCGTCAGAGAAAAAAAATTGTTTTTGTGACGGATTCTAACCTTAGCATGAAGGCTCTGATACCAATTGTTGAATTTATTTGTAATCATACTAAGAACAAGAACCACAATCTAATAAATTAGTAGTTCGAATTCATACCTACGGAAGCCATCATTTATATGAATAATAGCAGTCAGATCTTTCCCTCCTTACTCCTCACAAAGTATTAGTCGTCAATGGGACAGGCTAATAAAATAATATGGAGAGGAGAGGAGACCTAGCTTTTATATAGGAATTTATTTAGTCGTCACATTATCGACTTGAACCCTAATTAGAGTTTACACATAATTCTGGCCCACATACTCAAAAATACCACATTATATCAAATAAAGCCCGTAAGGTGTAAAATGGCCCAAATTGATTACTTCACATAATTGGCCTAATCATAAATATCATTATAAGTCATACATCTAACCCGTAAAATTAATAATCAAATGTAAAGCCCATATTAGAATATTCCAATATTTTGAACCTCATTTTAATCGGAATCGGGAGCCACATTTGCAACATCGTGCTCATTTTCTGGAGGTCCTTCGAGAGCTGTGGATACTGTTGCAGATATACCTTCAAACTACACTTGAGCTCCTGCTGCTTCAGATCTTGACCATTCAGTGGTTGCATGCCTTCTCCGGCATCTGGACATTCTACACCACTGTTTCCAACTGGGACAACTTTTCAACCAACAGACCCAATAATAGGTGCATCTTTTGTTTCGGCACCGGCTCTGCATTTCATCCTACAGTAGCTTTCAATGGGGATGCATTGGTGTTTTCAGTTATTCTAAGTGGCCTAGAAAGGCTTTGGGACCTAATTGGTTCAGAGAGGAAATAATTAAGAATAAAGCTTCCAAATCGAGTTCTGTCCCAGAGTTCCCTAAAAGATGATGCCCAATCCATGGAAGAAGAAAGTGGTGATAAATCTTCTAGGAGGGGACATTTGTAAGGGAGAGGAATCATCAACCACCAAGGCGATATACAAGCTCAGTTCACCAAGAAATCGAATCAATACCAAAGCAAACGACCCAAGAACACCACAAAGGTTTCGCCTATGGTTGCTAAGCTTTTTGCCACTTCAAGAACACCACAAAGGAGGGAAATATCACCAAGATATATGCCTTAAAAAGAATCACAGAAGATGGAAGTGGTGAAGGTCGAGAGAGGTCACGCAGGGAGAAGAAAGAGACACCAAGTCTTATTTCTTACATAGTGGCGTGAAGAGTAGAGAGAATATATTGGACCAAGTCTCAAATTATCGTAAGTTAGGTTTTAGGTAATGGGTCAAGGTCCAATAACATGTAAGTGGACAACAGTGTGGACCTCAAAAACTAGCTAGCCATCCAAATAGGTAAAAACATGGCTTATGAGCAACACAACTTAATTGGTTGCTTCAAATGGTCAAATCTCTTCTTGGGTCGGGTCGTTATAATTTGGTATTGATTTATTGCTTAGTCATATCGCAATCGTTGACTGATAATTAATAAATGGTTTACATCATCGCCCGAGAGGTCATTTGACAACAATATGTCCAACAACCTCCACTTTGATGTCAAAAGACCTGCAAAAAAGAAAGTTTCCTATTAGTAACACCTCTAACGAAAAACCAATAAAATTGGAAATCATTTACCTGTACCAATGTTTAGAAGTTCCTTGCAACTTCTAAACTTTGCCAGTTGCAGTACCTTCATGCCCATATCGGAAGGGTTGTAGTGTGTGTGGACCTTTTCAAGTATTACATCCTCTTGAGATACTATATCTCTAATGAAGTGGAGTCTAACATCAATGTGTTTAGTGCGCTCGTGTAAAATGGGGTTCTTGCACAAATGTATAGATGACTAACTATCAGAATACACTACCACATAATCATTCAAGACATATAGTTCATGGAGTAGGCCTCTAAGCCATAGAGCTTCTTTAATAGCTTCAGTGGTGTCAATATATTATGATTCTGTAGTGGATAGTGCAACAATGTGTTGTAATTGTAATTTCCAACTAACACATGAATTAGATAAGGTAAACACGTAAGACGAAGTCGATTTCCTACCATCTCTATCTTTCGCATAATCAGCATCTATAAAAGCCTTCAATTTTACTCCTTCTTTATTAGCACTAAACTATAAACCTACGTCACTTGTACCTTTCAAGTACCTTAATAGCCATTTTAACGCTTCCCAATGTTCAGGGTCCGGATTAACCATGTACCTACTGAGAGTACTAACCGCAAAATCGAAATCCGGTCTAGTGTAAACCATCAAATACATTATGGAACCAATCACATTAGAGTAAGGCACTCTACTCATATATTCTACTTCACGCTCATTGCAAGGGGATTGTTCTTTCGATAAAATAAAATGATTAGCAAGAGGCAACGTGACAAGTTTGCAATCACTCATATTAAATTTCTTCAATACTTTAGATATGTATGGAGACTGATGCAAGAACAAAATGGAATTTGACCTATCTCTTTCTATTTCCATGCCTAGGATTCTCTTAGCCTTACCTAGGTCTTTCATGTCAAATTCACCACTTAATTTTGCTTTTATATTATTTATCCACTTAGAGGAAGAACCAATCAAGAGCATGTCGTCCACATAGAGCAACAAAAATAGATAATTATCATCAGTCTCATTGTGTTGAATATACAAGCAGTGATCAAATTTACTTCTTTCAAACCCTATAGTGAGTACAAAGGAATCAAACCTCTTGTACCACTGTCTAGGAGATTGTTTTAACCCATATAAGGATCTTCTCAGAAAACACACATAATCAGGCTTTGACTTATCCTTAAAACCTTTTGGTTGATTCATGAAGATTTGTTCGTCAAGCTCACCATGTAAACAAGCAATTTTTACATCAAGTTGTTCAAGTTCCCAGTCAAAATGTGTAACCAAGGCAAGCATAACCCTAATAGTGGTGTACTTAACAACTACTATGATCCAGAAGTGTTTCAGACCAGACGCATGACCCGATCGATGTCCATGTACTACCACCCGAAAATTTACCCTCGGGAATACCCTTGAGTACCTTTCATTAGTTTTTGTTCGTGTCTTGTTTATTATGATTGCATTTTATCTTCAAATATTTGTTGCAATTTACATTTGCTGGAGGTTAGGTCAATGCCCCCCTCCTATATTTGTTTTCTCGCTTTTCATTATATAAAATAAACCACACTAGTGGTATTTGCCAAAAAAAAAAAAAAAAAAAACCTGGATTTAAACCTTAAGGGTTCCGAACAACTAGTACCTTCTTTAACCTTAAAGACCCATTTTCAATCAACGATTGATTTGTTCTTAGGCCTAGTTACCATCACCCAACTATGCTTTTTTTTCTAGAGAACTCATCTCTTCTTTCATTGCCTTAAGTCACTCCTTAGATTGATCACTACTGATGAATGTAATTCACTCATTAAACTAAAACTTCTAAATCACGTTTTTTGATGCGTTCTTGGGCATTTTTGAACGTTTTGATGTGTCTGTTCGTGTTTTTTTGCAGTTTGGACAACTCTCGAGAAAATACCACTATTGGAAGCCTGTGATGAGCAAAAATGATGATCAATGAAATGGAGCATGAATAAGCAAGTATTGAATAAGATTGGAGTGGAAAATAGGCTTGGAAAATAAAGTGAAGAGAAGCAAAGCAGTGGCATTGGCATTGACGCCACGACGCCAAAAAAGGGGCGCCATGGCGCCCCAAAGCGATGAATTTCAATAGAACCACTGGCGCCGTGGTGCCCAATGAAGACCAACAAAAGCAGAAACTCTGGCGCTAGTTACCATGATAATCGCGGTGACATGGCGCCATGCTTGGGCGCCGTGGCACCAAATCTCGAAACGTTAAAACCTAAATTTTTAATTATCTTTTCGGCCAAAAAATCATACCTTAACCCTTGAGGACTCTTAGAAAATATAAATACCAAGATGAAGAAGGAGAGAGGGGGGTTAGACGGCTGAAGAGGCAAGAGAAAGAGAAGCACCAATTGAGAGAAGATTAACCCAATTTTGGAGAAGAAGAAGGCAAAAAACTGAGAAATCAAGCAACAAGATTGAGAAATAGAGCAGCAACTAGAGTTTTTTTCTATCTTTCTCTTATACATGCACTCTAGTTTGTATTTCATTGCAATTTTATTCTCCATCATGAACTAAACTTTTAAATCTAGGGTTTGATGTAACCTATTTGAGACATGATTTAATTTCCTTATAGTATTTTCATTTAATTTTCCAGAATTGATTTGTATTATTCTTGCTTAATGCTTTCAGTTGCCTGATCACCAATTAAATGAATTGTTGCTCTAAATTTGATGCTTGAGAGAGGGAAATTTAGGTTTGATCTAAGAACAATACAACTTAGATTTGTAGGTTTCGAGAGAAAGTACAAATCTTTGAGGGTAAAACAAGAACCAAGTGCGTGATAATCTTTATATATTTAATTCGAAATAGAGATATTGGGGTTAAAATATAGAGATAGGTTCTATTTGACGCTCGAGAGGGGAAAATAGAATTAATTTAGGATTCTTGCCTATGAATTCGGGATATTGTTTATGGAAATATCTATAGGGATTGAGAATTATGCCGAAAATACGGTGAAATCACTCCCTAGACATTACGTAATTTTGATTTAATCTTTAGAAATTGCCTCACTTTTATTACATTATTTATTCATTGACATTAGTTTAGTATTCAAACATCAATTCAACACCCGATTGTCTAGATAAAGTAAACGCGGACACAATTATAGTATTCAGTAGAAGTCGAATATCAATCCCTGTGGGTTCGACACTTTTCGATTCTTTAATATACTACAAAACTTGACACCGTGCGCTTGTGGTATAAAATCACGTTACATAATTGCGTGACAACTACCTATCGCCTCTTCAAAGGTTTTTGGCTCTTTATCAGCTAGTTCTTCATAACTAGCATGGGCGAAAGCTAATTCAGATTCAAAACCGAACCTTCTAGGTTCTCTCGTCTGTCTCCTTTCTCTATCCCTAGCTAGATTATAATTAGTTAAGGGATTTTCTTCCTCAGGGTGTTCTTCTATCATTACTTTGTTACCGTTTTCCACTTTAGGTTTCTGAACCTGAATATCCACCTCATTAGTAGTAGGGGCAAGTGTACTAAGTTTTTCTAACTCCACCTTAAACCAATCTCTCTCCTCTCCTGGTTCAGTTTCACTCACAAGTTCGGTTTTCCCTTTAATACATGGCATCTCATTCTCGTTAAATGTGACATCCCTACTCACAGTGATCTTACTCCCCTTTTGACTTCTATCCCATAATCTGTATCCCTTAACACCCTCGGGATACCCTAGAAAGACACACTTTCTAGCTCTAGGTTCTAGCTTTTCCTCGCTTTGATGAGAAAAAGGCACAGCCAAAGGTTCTAAGCATAGAATAATCACTCAGTTTACCCGACCATATCTCATGCGGAGTGTCACCATTCAATGCAGCAGATGGAGTCAAATTAATCAAATAACAGGCAGTCATAACAGCTTCACCCCAAAAAGATTTGGGGACACCAGAACTTAACATCATGCAACGCACTTTATCAAGTATGGTTCTATTCATCCTTTCAGATACCTCGTTTTGTTGGGGAGTGTAAGGAACAGTTTTATGTCTAGTTATGTCATTTTCTTTACACATACTATCAAATTCTATGTTGCAAAACTCAGGCCGTTATCTATCCTTAAAATTTTGATTCTCTTGCCAGTTTGGTTTTCCACTTGTCTCTTCCAGTTATTGAAGTTATGAAAAGTCTCGAATTTATCTTTCAATAGATAGACCCACACTTTCATAGTATAGCCATCGATAATAGATACGAAGTACATATTCCCACCCGATGTGGGATTACTACCAGGACCCCACAGATCAGAATGCACATATTCAAGCATGCCTTTAGCTTTATGAACACTCGTGGAGAATGAAGTTTTATGATACTTACCAAGCACACAGTGATCAAAAAATGACAAATCTAACACACTATATGCACCTTTTTCATTAAGTAGCTTAAGTCTCTTAATGCCTACGTGTGCAAGTCTATTATGCCATATGTGTGTGTGATCAATCTTGGCAGAAGAGATAGAGGAGTTCAAACCTCTAATCACTTTTCCAGTAGTGATATAGATATCGTTTTTCTTAGTTTCCTTAATGGAAACTAAAGTACTCTTAATAATTTTTAGCATACCATTTCCAATTTTACCAGTAAAGTCATCCTTCTCAAATCTCCCTACTGAAATCAGATTCCTAGACAATTCAGGAATATATCTTACATCTTTTAACGTGTACACAAAATCTGTGTCAAATTTTACGTTTATGTCACCAATTCCAGCAATAGTATAGGCAAAGTTATCACACAGTACAACATGCCCAACATTAGATTCATGCAAGTTATAAAACCAATTCTTTTCAGACGTTATGTGGAACGATGCACCAGAATCAAGTATCCACTCATGCATGCGGAATTAGCAGTTAGATTCAATTCAACAATGTATGCAACTGGACTTGTAAGCATATAGACCTCACCGTTATCTATCTCAGATGTAGATGATAACACATTTACCTCATCTCTCTACTTAATCCTTAACTTGCCCTTTTCTTTATGGCAATCTTTTATGAAATGCCATGTGTTTCCACAACCATAGCATTTTCTGGCCTTCATCCTAGATTTTGATCAAAATTTGGGCAAGACCCTTGCCTTTCTTTTTCCATTCATTGCCACTAGACTCATCACCACTTTGATATCCATCATGACTATTTTGCCTAAATTGAGTTCTACCACCGCATCATATGTAACTCACCACTCCTTTTATTGTGTTTTTCAGCCATGGTTTCCATTTCTTTACTCCTAAGGGAGTTTATGATAATTTCAGGTGTCAACGTATCTCTGCCATACTTAATGGCATTCTTAACTTCCTTATAGAAATTAGGAATCGCATTGAGCAAAATTATAGCCTTATAAGTTTCGGACACAGCCTCATCACAATTAACTATATCTTGCACCAACTTGTTAAACACATCTAAATTGTCATCGAGATCCTTTGAAGGATCCATTTTAAAACTGAAAAAACATTCAAGCAAGTAAAATTCGTTCGATGTAGACTTGAGCAAATATAAGTCTTCTAATTTTTTTTATAGTTCTTTGGTGATTTTCAGTTTATCCACATTTCTTAAAACAACGTCAGATAAGTGTAAAATGATTGAGGTATAAGCAAACTCATCGACTTTTTCTCTTTGTTCTTTTGAAAAATCAGTTGAAAAATTGTCTTCGATGACCTTTGAAACCTTTTCTTGGACTAAAATGCCCTTCATTTTTTGTTGCCAAATAAAAAAGTCACCCTTTCCATTAAAAATCCTCAAATCAAAGTTGTGAGTTGTCATCTTTACACAATAGTCAAGGAGTGCACAAAACACAATCAAACCGCACAAAGTAGTCATAGGGTTTCAAAGAATATACGTCGTTCTAGATTCCCAGGGTTTCGTAAGATTTGTGGTCTTAGATCAAGGGAATGTTCGAAACGGGTAAAGTCACGGTAATTCTAACGGAATTAATAAGCAGCGGAAATAACAATGCAACAGAAAACTACGTCTAACAGATAATTAGTTTCACGGCAGTTATATCACTAAGACAAATACTAATTTAACTAAAAGACAAATACTCAATCAAATAATCAAAGGCACGTAACCCTAATTTCTAGCACAAGTAATAGTTGTCAAGCAATGGCAACCCCCAAACCTAATGATCATCCCACACAATGATCTGCTAGTGCAAAAATATAAAGGTTTCAGCCAATTTACCAGAACGGACCTATCTGAGTCGTAACGTGGATAGATGCAAATTTTGCTACTTTAGGGCCACCATTATTCGCCCTAAAAATTCAGCAAATATAACAATTTCGATCAGCAACAAATACATATTGAAGGCAGGGGCAAAATCATCCAATTTTTTTGCACAACCTGAAACACTAAATCAAACACATCAAAACGTTTAGAAGAATGAAATAAACTAAATAACAGAAAAAATCACGTTACAGGGTTTTCCACGCGCCGTCGGCACCACCACGTGCCACCTCACAAGGGATGCCTCGATCTGCTGATTATAGGTCCGAAGTCCATTTGTCCAAAAGAGATTCGATTTGGGAGTAATTGAGGGATTTAGGGTTTGATCACTTTGAAAAAATCCCGCCTCCCTCTCAATTTTTGGACTATTTTAACAGAAATTAAAGCTCTATGCTCTGATACCAGATGTAAGGGAGAGGAATCATCAACCACCAAGGCGATATACATTCTCAGTTCACCAAGAAACCGAATCAATACCAAAGCAAACGATCCAAGAGCACCACAAAGGTTTCACCTATGGTTGCTAAGCTTTTTGCCACTTCAAGAACACCACAAATGAGGGAAATACCACTAAGATATATGCCTTAAAGAGAATGGCAAAAGATGTAAGGGGTGAGGGCCGAGAGAGATCCCGCATGGAGGAGAAAGAGACACCAAGTCTTATTTCTTGCATAGTGGCGTGAAGAGTAGAGAGAATATATTAGACCAAGTCTCAAATTATGGTAAGTTAGGTTTTAGATAATGGGTCAAGGTCCAATAACATGTAAGTGGACAATAGTGTGGGCCTCAAAAACTAGCTAGCCATCCAAATAGGTGAAAACATGGCCCATGAGCAACACAAATTAATTGGTTGCTTCAAATGGTCCAATCTCTTCTTAGGTCGGGTCGTTACAATTTGCTCATATTACAATCGTCGACTGATAATTAATAAATGGTTTACATTATCGCCCGAGAGGTCATTTGACAACAATATGTCCAACAACATCAAACAGACAGCAAAAGCATTGATTCTTCATGATTAACTGAAGATAAGGATGAGGTGGAGGCTGCTATTAACAAAGAAATAAATTGTGCTCTAGCCGAAGTGTTTTGAAGGTTACTGATGAACTTTTTGATAAAATTGCAACCCAAGTTTTGAATAAAGATGGTCTCATATTTGAAGTCGACCACGACATCGACATGTCAAATCACAAAGTATTACCGACGACACCAGCTGGTTCAACAACCAAAGCCCCTGCAAAAGTTTTGATTCAGACTAAGGCGAAGGAAACTGTGGCTGAGGATGCTAGTGAAAAGTCTGATGCTGCTGGGGATGTACTTGGTCTATCTTGTTATACCTCAGATGTTGAAGATGAGGAGATCCAGAGTTTTAAAACTGACGGTACTGGAAAAACGAAGGCAAACACTGTGTGTGCAAATCTTGTTGCCGCAAGTACAGAGTTGAATATTGAAAGGGTAGCTAGAGAGTTGGCATACAGTGATAATCAACGCTCCACCGAGACAGAATCTGGAGTTGCAGAAGATGAGACGCAACATGTCTGTAACACTTCCAAGTCCGAGGAGACTGTAACTAGAAAGGCTCGTAATGCCAAAAAATCGACAATGGATGATTCACCAAGCCGACGTATGAGGCATAGGTCAGATGAGAATGATAGAAGAGATGATAAAAAGAACCATACTGTTTCGCGCGGGTTAAGTCGCTAACAATTAAAAAGGGTCAGACGATTGTATAAGGGACGAAACCTCTTGAGACAAAGTCCCAAAAAGGGGTGTTCTTTTATTGGCGATGGACTTTACAATTGGGAATGAAAAACAACGTGCCTCCAAGGGGCGCAAGCACACGAGTTACAGAAAAATGTTTAAGTCTAAAAGCTAAGGAAATGAAAATTACATATTCTCTGTTCGAGAGTTTTGGATTCGGTCCTTTGCTTCTGCGTCCTTTCTCCCTTTTATACCTCCTAGACGATCTATTTGTGATTAACTACCCTGAAAACTGTTTGATCGTCCTATAACTTCCCACTTTCTTTGTAGTGGCCATTTTGTCATGAAACTGCCTCTTAACTGCTGCCATTATCTTTCATCGTTCAACCGCTTTCGATTGAATTCCTTGAGTCGTGGAACGTGATAATGCTACTTTAAAAACTGCCTTGATAACTGCATTCCTTGATAACCACGATGCGTTATATTTGTTGACACCTTGGGCGACTTGAAGGTTTGGGCGAGAGTGGAATAACAGCTCTGGGCGACCGTATGACACCCCATTCGTTCAGATTCTGGGCGACTCGCAAATTTGGGCGATGGCGTCACCGCATTCTTGGGCCTCTTATTTGGGCCTTCACCCTGATTCATTTGATTGGACTTCGTTCGTTGGGCTATCCGATTTGGGGATCCTTCAATTGGGCTTTATTCCTTGGGCTGTTCGATTTGGGCTGAATTTTTATGTGTCAACACATACAGGGAAACAAAATGATATGGTAGTGGAAAGTTTCAAGGAAGGCATTGATAAGAAGGGAGATGAAGACCATAAAAGGCATGAAGGCATCCGTGCAAGAAATAAAATTGTCATTGATCTTCTCTGCCATCCGAATTCCAAAGAATTGAAACTCCAACTGCTAATAAAGATTCTTTATCCATGGAGAGGATTAACGATTTGAATATCAGAAAATACAAGTCAGAAAGTCTAGCAAGCATCACTAGTTGACATGGATGATGAGTTGTAATGGCACATGGAAAGCACCAGCACTGAAGTTTCTGGAAGATAAATGAAGAGAGTCGGGAATCCACTTGGTTATTTGACATCCTTTTGTATATACTTCCTTTTTTTTTTTATTCTTTCCAGTTGGTTGTAACTAATTTAGAGAATATTCTTTTGCTTCTTTGCTATAAATACTAGCTGAACTGTATAGTAAAAACGTGGAATGAATACAATGAGAAAAATCTTCCAATTCTACAAATCCATTACTTAAACAAATTTTCATATTCTGCAACTTCATTTCTATAACTCCAGCAAATTCTTATATGGTATCAGAGCCAACTTGATGGCAGAAACCGACTCCACAAGTCCAAATGCTACTGAAAATCCTCCTCAAAATCCCAAACTGACTCCAAGCTCCTCTGGTGAAGGAAGAGCAACACCTCATGACCCTACATCACCAAGAAACCCCTACTATATTGGCAAAAGTGATGGCAGTGGCGCCATACTGGTGACTCATCAGCTTGATGCAAGCAACTACTATTCCTGGGCAAGGTCAACGAAGAGAACACTTAGGATAAAAAACAAGTTGGGTTTCATTGATGGGAGCATTTGTGGCGAACTGATCCAAATGATCCTGGTAGAACATTGGTTACGGTGCAATGACACTGTAATCACTTGGCTTCAAAACACTATGTCATTGGACATTAAGTGTAGTACTGTATATGCAGAAACAGCCCATCCATTATAGATAGAATTAGAACATTTTGCACAACAAAATGACCCAAAAATATATGAAATCAAGCAAAATATAACTGCTTTAATTCAAAATCAGGATGTTGTAAGTGTCTATTTCTCCAAGCTCAAAACTCTTTTGGATGAATTGATGAATTATGAGTTCGCACCTCATTGTTCTTGCGGTGGTTTAAAGACTATGATCAGTAACCAACAGAGGGATTGGGTCATGAAATTCTTGATGGGGTTGAATGACTCCTATAAGGTACTTAAGGCACAAATTCTATTGATTAAACCCTTTCCTACTCTAAATAAAGTATATGCTATTGTGCAACAAGAAGAAAAGAGAAGGCAGATTTCTTCTGATGGTGCTATGATTGAACCTATGGCACTTCTGGTGAAAGGGAATTTTAGAGATGGGGGGGAAGAACTCATCTGGACAAAGGAAGGACAAATATTACAGTACTCATTGCAAGATGGCCGGTCATTCCTTTGAAAGGTGCTTCAAGGCCAATCCAAGTAAACCAACGTGTGCTTATTCAAATGCTAGGCCATTCCATGGATAAATGTTACAAGTTACATGGGTATCCACCAGGCCACGGATCAGAAAATCAAAGTAAGCCCACAACATCTCTTCAACCAAACCATTGCACTATTATGTACTGGCCAAGAGCAGGTAAGTGATAAAGCTCAAATGTCCTAAACCCAAGAGCAATATATTCAGCTTATGGCTCTGCTAAAATCACAAAACTCTCAGACTTACACACCATCAGCAAATCAAGCTCACTCCATCATTCCATCTCATCCCAAGGATGGTGGGATGCCAAAAATTTCTGGTATATCTCTATGTGTTTCTGCTCATAGTAATAAACTACCTAACATGCCTGATGCTCCTTGGATCTTAGATACAGGGGCAACGGACCACATGATTTGTTCTACATCATATTTTTCCAAAATCAAAGCTGAGACCTCATACTCAGTTGCTCTCCCCAGTGGTGAAGTGGTTCTAGTCACCCATACTGGAACGGTTGAATTTTCGAAATCTTTAATCCTTGACAATGTGTTGTGTACCTGCTTTTTCTTTCAATCTTATATCAGCTAGGAAAATAGCACAAAGCATGAACTCTTGTCTCATTTTCCTCTCTGATTTATGCTTTGTACAGGACCTTCAACTTGGACAACGACTTGAATGGGTAAAGAAAAGCAAGGCTTGTATCACCTATTGCAACAGGAAGTTTCCCCACATGCTTTAGTAGAAAAGTTAGCTCAAAAATTGCCTATGTTTGCTTCCACAGTCTCTAATAATGTTGAAGACTTTGATCTTTGGCACTATAGGTTAGGACACTCTAGTTACTTCTAGTTAGAACAACCAAACCACATTCCAAAAGTTACAAAAAATCCATGTTTGATATGCCCTCTAGCCAAGCAGCAAAAACTACCATTTTCTCCTAGTACACATAAATCTGAGAAATGTTTTGATCTCGTGCACTGTGACTTATGGGGACCATGTAACGAGAATAGTTATGATGGTTTTCGATACTTCTTAACTATAGTGGATGATTTCAGCAGATGTACTTGGGTGTATGTTTTAAAATTGAAATCTGATGCTGGTACTAATTTACAAGGTTTTTGTTCTGTGATTGAGACTCAATTTGAAACTAAAATAAAAGTAATCAGGTCTGATGATGGTGGGGAATTTGATATGAAACAATTTTATAACCAAAAGGGATTGAAAACTCCAACTGCTGATAAAGATTCTTTATCCATGGAGAGGATTAACAATTTGAGTATCAGAAAATACAAGTGAGCAAGTCCAGCAAGCATCACTGGTTGACATGGATGATGAGTTGTAATGGCACATTGAAAGCACCAGCACTGAAGTTTCTGGAAGATAAATGAAGAGAGCCGGGAATCCAATTGGTTATTTGACATCCTTTTGTATATACTTCCTTATTTTTTTTATTCTTTCCAGTTGGTTATAACTAATTTAGAGAATATTCTTTTGCTTCCTTGCTATAAATACTGGCCGAATTGTATAGTAAAAACTTGTGAATGAATACAATGAGAAAATTCTCCCAATTCTACAAACCCATTACTTAAACAAATTTTCATATTCTGCAACTTCATTTCTATAACTCCAGCAAATTCTTATATTGAGTTCACCAATTATTGAGGTGATGGGATTCCGAAGTGAAGGCAAGAGTGCTGGGACTTCAGTTCACTGTATACCAAATGTAGTGTGGATTCTTACAGAAGATTTGATGGTTCTGTCATGTTTACTAGGTTAGCTGAGAAGCACTAATGCCTGCCTTATGCGTTAGGGAGGCAGAAGCCGCAGAACCCTGGTCTGTTGGAAAAATCGCTCTCTACGATGCTACAATCTACCGATCGGTTGACTTTCTTTTCCTTCAACCAAACTCAACAAGAAGTTTCTTCTAAGTGGGGGAAGATTGATGTAGTACATAATCATGATCAGTAATTTCCTACAACAATTGTGATTTATCTTTTCAATTATGCTTATCTCTTCTAGTTTTAGTTTTTAGTTGTAAATTTTAGTCTCATTTGTTTTAGATTAGGATTTATATTAGTTCCCTTATATTAATAAGATTAAGGAATATTCATCTTAGTTTATTACATAATTATTTTATTATCGCTTCTGCACCCCACAATCCCGATTCAAGACGCTCAAGCATAAATATCAAACAAACAATTATTTTGATATAATTGGGAAGAGGGGTCGTCCTATGTTCTAACTAGAACAAACAATCGATAAATTTAAGAGGAGAGGTCACGTTTAGATATACGGGCTTTGATGCTCATGATAAAACTCTTTCTTGGTATGTTTCTACATAAACACTCTTATTAATCAAACTTCAGTTGCAGCTAGTTGCAATAACAAACCATCTCGTACATTTAAGAATACCAGCTCAATAGAAGTGAAGTAGACATTGCCATCCATCTATGAAATACCAATTAAAATGTTGAGAAATTGAAGAAAAACATGATTGAAACAATGCTAAAAATCATTCCTTGTGCAGTAGGAATCGAAAAATATTTCATATTGGCATTAGAGCCCAACTGTAGTCTTCTTTGTGCATTACTTCAAAACATCCCACGAGATAAAGAAAATGTAGAATAAGCACACGATATGCAACTCGGTCTTTCATTCAAACATAATCAAAGCTGAAATTGCAGATGAAAATTAGAGCTGACAATCCTAGTGAAGTTCTCGTAAGTTTGAGAGAACTAGATGAAATCTAGCAAATTCTCTCAATGGCTTTATTTGTCAGACTTCTTCACCAACTTATCATAAAGAATCCTGTCATCTCTTCCTGTGTTGCTCTCCAAGAGGGCACTTTGCACAAGTTCCTGATTATTTGAAAATTATTAATAGACAAAAAGAGTGCACAAAACACGAGCTTCTATTATGATATAGAATGGTCATCATAACAAACCTTGACATCTCGGTGCGAGAGGAACTTCCCTAAATTGTGGATGATCAATCTCAAATCTTCGACCTGAAAGTAAACTAACATGTAATATATGGTCTATATTCTTTGTAATTATCCAACAAGGAAGGAGAAAAATATAGTTTACCCGAATGTATCCCACACGATTTCGATCAAAAAACCTGAAAGCCTGCTTCAACAGGAAAATCAATCAGAGAACATAATCTAACAAGGGTATTTAACAGAATTGAAGTAGGGAACTAGCAGTAACATGCCTGCAGCAGTTTCTTGTCAACAACAACCGGGGTGTCTTTAGTTTTTGGTTCCACCTTTGTCACCTTTTCTTTGTTGCTCTTGTCCACAATGGTCTCTTTCTCTGGAGCTTGCTTTGTTGTCTCCTGCTCTTTGTTCTTCTCTTCCACATTAACTTCTTTACTTTTAGCATCAGTGTCTGTCTTTCCATCTTCAACAACTTTCTGCATGGACAACTGGACCAGGTTACAACATTTTGTCATTTGGAGGTATATTGTACAGTTAATATACAAATATTTGTGTTCGTTCTGATGAGCCGTTGAATATTGTTCAACACTAACATGGGGTAAATTAGGAGTGGTTTCCCAACCTCACAAGTGGTGCGGCTATGGTCCCCATCAACCTTCAAAAGTGTGGTTTTGGGCCTCCAACCTATTTAAATTGAACTGGGTTCCTAAGCGACCAAAACCATCAATGTAAAAGTTTAAATCACATGCAACTATCCCATGACCCATGGCTAGAAGGCAAAACCGTCGAACCACTGAACATTTATCTCCAATTAAACTAAAAATCACATGCAATTTTATGTCCAAATTGTTGGGCCCTATCATTGTGCTCCATGAAGTTTAGATTCTTTTTAATTTTTGAGTTTTACCTGCCCTAGGTAATAAAGAGTGACATAGTCAAAAGAGTTCCATCATCTCATGAAAAATGAAACTCTTTCAAGCTTCCTCCAGTGATCCAAGCCTCTCCTAATTGTTGATAAATTGTTATACAATATTTTATCCTTCTCAATGAACCGATCAAACTTCAATATCACTTTGAGCATCTAACTTCAACCATACCACAACTTGAATCAATTAATCCAACCAGTATTTCGATTCAGCTAATGAATTAGCAAATAATCATCTTCCCAAATCCATTTTCTACTACATAAATTAACAGGATCCTGCATCATAGGTAAGTTATATCTCATGCTTTGCCTAAATCTGGGAGAGAACCAAATGTCCTTGATAATTAAGCCTCCATTTATAAAGAGGAACAATAGTGGGTCCCACAATGCGTAAATAATAATTAGCAGTTATGGATGAGTGATTTAAATTAATGTCCGACTTTGACTGAATTATGTATCCAAACAGAGGCTAATATATTGAACAGAGTCGCAACATTGTCACACACCATCACCTCGACCATCAACTAAAAAACCCCTCCAAATGAAAAGAAAAAAGAAGGGAAATCAAAACAGCATATGAAAGAGATGGAAAATGAAAGATGAAAACTCTTGCCTCAGTTGAGTTATGCTGTGGGCTTGCATCAGGAATTTCTTCATCTTCCTCTGGATCTTCCTCTGGGTCTTCCTCATTAGGTTCATCTTGAGGCTTATCATCTTCAAGCTGTTTTGAGGAAGTAACCTCTTGCTTGATGATATTGTTACTGTCATTTGTTCGAGCATTGTCACATGCTTCAATTTCGTTTTCAATTTTCTCATTGGACTCTTCTGCTTTTACACGCTTCTTCAACAATTTTTCTCCATTTTCCTTCTTGGAAGTTTCTTCCCTTGGCCTCTTCCGTTGATTTCTCTTCCTTACAAATTTGATGCGCAGCTCCTACAAACAAGAGAAAACGAATGAACAAAAATAACAATTACTTAAACGAAATCTCTCCCAGTGAACGATCATGGAAAATACAAGTGCTAAGATAAAAGCTTCAAGATAACCTGAAGGAAAGTCAACAGACGACAACCCATTTTGTATTGAAGCATCTCATAGAGGGATTCTGCAAACAATGATAACTGCAAGAACAGGAGTTGAAGAAAGTAGAAGTATGTCAAATGCGTGCAGTGACCAAGAAAGGATGCAAATTTATGAATGGTAATTTCAGATACCTCAAATGTTGATTCTTCAATATCCTGGTCAGAATAATCCAGAAGAGAATCCAGTGAGAGTGATAGTGAATGCATCTGCGCATATTAAAAATAAAATTAATTAGATTCAGCATGTGACATCCCACACAAGAAGAGGGCATGTATAGATGACAATGACATGTTCTGCACTCAACATACTTTAGAATCCTTGCTCCCTTTTGTTCGAAGAAACAATCCAGGATGTCGGGGAGGTTCTTCAACCTTTTTCTTTTCTTTCACCTCTTTATGTGCTTTGCTTGCAGGCTCATCTTTTCCAGCATGGTCTTTTCTTATTTTCTCATCTTTCAGCTCTTCCCTTCCTTCTGACTTTGTGCAATTATCATTTTGAGAATATTTTTGCTTGTTATTATTATCCTTCTCGGATCCAGAATTTTTTTTTCCCACACTATTTCCACCCTCCTTATCAGCAACTGTTTCATTTTGTTCCTCCTTAATAAGTGCATCAATTTCAGGCTGAACAGCCTTTATTTCTCCCTTTAGGTCATCTACGGAAACCTTACTACTCTTGGTGTCTGCAGAAACTGCCTTCCTTTTCAGGACCCTTTTAACTACTTTCTTCTTTACTGTTGTTTTTGCGCTACCATCTTGGACAACAGCATCAGTGGTTCCATCCGATTTAACCATTGCTTTATCATCTACAGACTCAGGATTATTCAGAGTTTTCACATCAGGAGCTAAGCACTCGACTTTTTCCTCAACAGATTTAACAGGCTTTTTCACTGTTTTCTTCCTTATAAAAGTTTTGATAGCTGGAGGATTAGATGATAGGCTGTCCTGTTGGTCAGCAACTTCTGAGATAATATTCTTCTCACCAATACCTTCTTCGCCGAGCTTATCATTCGGTTTAGCAGCACTTTCTGCAGAACCTTTATCATTAACAACTTTCTTTTTAACAATCCTCTTTATGGTTTTCTTTTTTCCCAGCTTCATGGTACTAGCTGCCTGAATACTGGCATTTTCCCCCGCAACCTTCTCCCCTACATCCTTGTCTTCCTCAGCTGGTTTGACCGCATGTTTATTTTCAGATGCTTTATCTTTCTCATTCCCCTCTTTTTCAGAAGCTGAATTCGCTTTGCCTTTGGGTTTATGGGCATCTTTTTCCTTTTTATTAACTTCAACAGACCGTCCGGAAGATGAAATTTCTTTCTTTTTCTGTGATTCATTTTTGGTTTTCGCATCTTTAACATCCTCAAGTTTCTTCGGGTCCAAATCTGAAATGAATTAGTTGGTAAGAAAATATAACCAGACAAAGAAATCCCAGTAGACATTTGGATTCTTACCTTTCAAGCTTTCCTGCTTGTCTCCCGGTATCTAATTTGACATGCACATAAACGGATCAGTCACAGATAAATCAACTATAGATACATATTAAATCTTTAAAATAGAAGCAAACGCCAAAATCAAACAACAAGATGTTATTGGTCCTTGGCATTAGAAAAAAGGGAACCTACTAGAGGCCAAATTAAGTCCCAGGGTTGAAAATAAAACAACCATGTCAACCCAATCAACTGCATAAAAAGAACATATTAAGTACTAAATGTTGTAGCTTCTAAAAATATATATAAGAAAAGTCATTTCATAGAATACGATAAAATTTCGATTACTAACGAATTTTATTTATTTATTTATTTTTATTATTATTATTATTTTTTTTTTTTTTTTTATTTTATTATTATTATTTTTTTTTTTTGCATGAAGAATTCATCATCTTCAGTAAATTCCTACTTCATAGAGTGATATCCTTGCCCGCCAAGTAGGGATGTAGATTGTGAGATTTGATGATGAGATGCTGACTATTTGCTGGTGCTTTCCCAGCAAGTTGGCCAACATTCCTAACTTCGAGCATGTGACAATGCGTTTAAATTCTTTTAAGATTTATCCGATAAATTTGTTCCAATGTAACTGTGCAGTACCACAGCAAGTTATTAGTTAAAACAATTGACCGGCTTCTCTAGTTCAATGAATGAAATTGAAGAAATCTTAATCTCATTCCTTTCATCACAGTGAACATGATGCGGACATCCATTTATTATTTATTTTCTATTTGGACTATTAGTTATATTCTATTTGGATCATTATTTATGTTTCTGTTATTGGGTTTGTATAGTGGGTTTGGCCCAAGTCCTTCTCTTTAGGGTTTTTGTTTTGCTATTTATTTCTGTTTTGTTGCGTATTTGAGACAGTTGATGAACGATGAAAATGAATGATATGTTTGTGCCTCAAGTTTTCCTTCCCCTTTCTCCCTAACTTCTCCGGGTTTCTTTCCCCCTGCTGCCGTCTTCGTCTTCTCTTCCTCTTCTCTTCTCCTTCTTGCAAAGGTTCTGCAATTCTGCTTCTTTCCTGCTAATTTTATTCTCTGCCGGAATCCCTTTTATCCGGCATCAGAACAAATGTTGTGTTATCTTAAGAGAATTTAAAAAAAGACTATATCCTGATAACAACGTTTCAGGTACCATGTATGCATTACGCAAATAAAGACCTAAATATTTTGCTTAAGTATCTAAAAATCCTTTAGCATTTGGTAAACCAAAGAATAGCTCAGTAGCAGGAGAAAAAAAAAAGCATGTCAGGCAGAATCATAGTTACACTCTCTTCATTCCTTCAGAAACCACTCATCAGGGAAAAAAATGCTTTAATGTTGAAAGAAGAAGAAGGTGCCACAGAAAGTAATGGTCTCTCACATAAAATATGTAATCACTAACAAGGAGCTAACTCTTCTGAAAAAATTATGCTAGACCATTCTCGTAATCCCAACCCTTCAGGTAGTAAATTTTGATATTCTAGTACTTGCCAAATTGAGTGCTAGCAAGAGGGTTATTTTGTTCTCATTGCAATTTAGTTTGATAAACCAAATGCAAAATAACCCAATAAAGCTGCCAGACCTTGAAATCCAGCAGTCTACGCATCAAAAGATTTTTGGGTGCATAAAATGTTAATGATCTTTGTACGTTCATATTAAAATTCAGACAAAAGGAACATAAAGAACCTCATTCTTTAGAGCATGCTGCCGCTCCTGTTCCCTCTCAGAGACAACCTTTTTGTGATTAAGCCATTGGTCTTTCCACGAATTCAGTGAAGGCAGACAGTCGGACAGATCTGGAACATATAGTACTGTAACTTCTTTATGACTGAAGAACCCATCCTTTCCAACTCTCTGGTAGTGAATCTGCAAGGCCAAGACAGTTTATCTAATAATCATGATAATGTAAAAAACAGAGGCATCTAAGTTTTGAAAGTAAAAGTGAATGTAACAAGGCATTAAGAAGGTGCATTGTAATTCAAATGCAAAATTCTCATAGTTCATTAAAGAAGTAGATTTAATTTTAAAGAGAAAATAACTAACTAAAGGATTAAATATCCAAGAGGTGGCCTTTAACATGCTGAGGCTGCTCAGCACTTCAGAAGCCTTCCCTTTCATTTCTATACTATACAATAATCACATTAGTCTTTTCCACATTTTTCTCTTATTCTACCAAATGTTAGTATTTATCCTTTTTCTCTAGCTTTCTACCAGATATGGCAGTATACACTGGAAAAAGAAGCACCCTTTTATGTTATCCAGATCTTTTTAAGAATGTTGCCTCCTCCTTCCATAAAGACAAACATGGAAGAGTTCTTTCACCACTGTACTGAAAGACAAGCAACACATCTGGAGACAAAAATCTATTATACCTCCTGAAGAATTTCAGTTGATAAGCAGTTCATCAACATGCTTCCTTTTCAGGTCCATCTTATTTGTAATCTTCTGAAAATTATTACCATTTCATAATAAACCGGGTCATGTAAACTTTTCCCAGGACAGAGAATTCAGTCATATTAACTCTGATTTTCCACACAGCCTTCTGAGTCAACTTTCTCATCAATCAAAGGACATTATAGTAATTAACAAAAGAAAGACATCCAAAAACTCCTGGATCAAAATGAACTTGAAAAAAAATAGAACCCACTATAAATAATTGCCTTCTAGCATATAAGCAAGATTTCAGTTGAGGTTTTCTGGAAAAAGAATGTTACAATAGATAAAGAGAGACATATACTACTGAACTCCTAATAGCACAAACCCCACGAGAAGCTGTCATGGTTGAGTGAGCAAAATCTGAGAGGACGGAGAAACCGGACGAGATCAGGAAGCCAGAAATAAGAACACTATATCCACTAGAGTTATACCTTGTTTTTTAGGGAAAAGAAAATTAAAGACCAGGAAGAACATATAGAATAGAAAAAAAAAGTAAGTAAACCAAATTGACCTCCTAAGATTGTAAATTAATTAGGTCAAAGAGAGATTTGTCTTCGGGCAAGCTATAAAGCACTGACACGATACCTTGCCAACATATTGATAAAAATAATATATTTTTTCAAATTTTTTAGGTCAATTTTTTAAATTTTATAACACAAAGCAAATACTGTTTTGAATACTTGGTTTTTACTTTTTAATTGGTGAAAATGTCAAGTTACTTTTAAAATAAGAAAGGCTGACTATTTTTTGGCTCAGTTGACCATTCCATTTAATGAAGGTGAACTTGCCTTTCATAATAAAAAGTAAAAATCATGTAAAAAAAAAAAAAAAAAAAGCAATTTTTAATAGGTCTAAAAAGAAACATGTTCATCTCTTTACAAATACAAAGAGTCTTGTCACTAGGCTTCGCTTTTGAGTCTGCCATTTTGAGGAGAGAAGACCCATGCCCGTTGAGAAACCATCGCTGTTATTAGAAGAAATGTGCCAGAAGGTAGAGATGAAGAAGATGACCATCATTCAGACGCCGACATGTCAGCAATCTAACCAGTGTGTCGGGGACGTGTCTTCAGTGTCTGGCAGTAGGAAAAACAAAAAAGAAAAGGGGAAAATGCCACATGACACTTCAGATATGCATCATGCCGATCCTTCTGACAGTATAATGCATATTGGATGCATATTGCATCTGAGCAGGCAAGAAAGACACAGTCTCTTGTTACCCACAACTAAGAATGCTAATGAGAACTTAACTGGCATGATAGTGGATGTGAAGGTGCCTGAAAAAGTCAAATATAAACAATATCTGAAAAATCAAAGGACTCAATCTTTTTATCTTAATACCACGTACCATCAAATTCATGTGCTATCAATTTTAAGTAGCGCAGACAAGTTGATTGCAGCCTCGTGCATTTAAAGGGAAACTGACAAATAGGATCTTCTAGTTTAGGAGCTAAGTAGATTGATATTTTTGTATAGTAAATGCATTATGTTATCTTTGTTACGTAGTTATACTCGTGTTTAATTCCTCATTTGTACTTGCTTGGAGGCGAAGTGGCATGTAACCCTCCAAGCAATAGCAATTACAAAATATACTTAGGTAGGGGATAATGCCATACCCCTCACTCACTAGTAGGTGTGATGACCTAAAAATCCTCGCTTATGTTTTAGAGGATTTTAAGGGGAGGAAATCAAATGGTGCTAGATGATTCTACAAGATATGATGTTACCAAAAGAAATTAGGATTGAAGTTTTTGAACACAGATAAATGATAAGAACAAATTAATGTTGTATTTACATGCACATGCTCAACTCTATGATACTCGGACTTAGGTACGAATACATATCTAAGTGTTAGATCTTTTATTTTCTAGAATTTAGAATACTGAAATATGACTAAAAATAGTCCAAATTTTGAACACGGGTACATGAGTACATTTTCCAAATTTTAATTTTTTTTTATTCATAGATACCATGAAAGATATCTTTCATTTTTTTAGATTAATTATTTTCTCATCAATGGCTAAGACTTGGGGCTTATTTTTATAATACTGGGTCTCCTATCCTAAGCCCAATTCATTTACCAAACAATACCCAGGGGAACTTGACCCTAATCCTCTATTAAAAGCTATTTCTCTCTTACTAAGCCTCCAGGTCTCAAGCCTATTTCATTAACCCGACCCTAATCCTCTATTAAAACTCTATTTCTCCCTTCACTCACTTCTTCCCATCAAACACGAAGAAGACAAAATGGGTCATGCAATCCGAACACAGCATAAAGGAGCATGATCTGTATTCAAGTCCCACACCCATCATCACAAGGGTTTGCCCCGATTCCGTTCCCTGGAGCAAGCGAGCAGGTGACTCAATTTTTTCCCGTGGCACCACCGCAATTAGCCTTCCAGGTTGCCGTGTCCAGTTAATTTTCACTGTGTCTGCCCCATATCCATACCCGTACATGTATCGTGTCGACAAGGGTACTATAGTGGAATAAAGAGGCCGAGCATCACATTGCTCAACAAACAACACATTAAAAGCAGAACTTACACAACTAATTGGGACTTACAATGATGGATTCATAAACTGAAACCTCAAGGCAGTCGTTGCCGTGTAAAATGACAAAATAGATTCAATCAATCAACTACACAAAAAAGGGAACTCTGAAGTTAGAAACGGGTGCTACGATTATTATAACACCTCGGAAAACCCTAATAGTTGTTAACCTTGAATTGGGGCTTTAAGGTAAGATGTTGAAAGTTAGGGGGCTAAATCAATGACTTTCCATAGTTTATGGACCATATTGCAAACTAGTCCAGATTTAAGGGACCCCATGTGCAATTTTCGGAACTTGCTGTTTTTATGTCCCTGATGTGTGTGTATATATATATATATATTGGGGGGGGGGGGTGTATATATATGGACAAGATTAAAGTTAATTTAAGGAAAGATTATAGGAAAATGATAATTTTCAATATACGTGTAGATATATAATGTTAATTGTTTTAATTAAAGAAAGATTAAAGTTAATTAAGGAATGATATGGATCCCCTTCAAATTGAGTATATGTCATACCATGTCTGTTGAATTGTTTTTCATATTGTAAAATACACAATTCGATTTATGAATATGATATGGATCCTATATGCAAAAGTTCAAAGGGGTCAAAGCTTAGTAACACTACACATGAAAATTATAGGCATCCAAGTTCGGTTTCTAATTCTCATGTCTCCTCACGTTAAGAATTCCAAAATTTGAATATGAATAGGATTCATTGCAACTCACTTAGCCCCTGTTTGTTTCCCATTATTTATTCATTAAAATGAAAAATATGATTATTATCCATCACATCAAGCCACCATATTTGAAAATCTATCTCTTGTGTGGAGCTCATAATGACTATATTTTTCATTTTCATTCTTCTATTAGTGTGGCTCAAACGGGGCCTTATTAAGATTTATCTCATTTTTAGGTAATTAAGATTCAAGGTATTGGAGCTTTGAACTGACTAATGGTTGTATAATAAAGAGATTTTTGAACAATTTGTTGGATTTATTTTTATGTTTTAAATTATTATTATTATTTTTTTTAATTATTATAGTAATGTTGGGATAAAGTTACTCTTTCAGAAAGTTAAGTTTTTATTTCACAATACGTGATTAACGATTCCAAGGGTAAGTTTTGGGTCGTTATAGTTAGGGATGGATTCAAAACAAATTTTTACTCCGTCAGCAGAAGGGAAGACAGATAAATGAATCATTACCATCCTTTCTCCTAAAACCAGAGGCTGTAATACAACCAAATCCCCTTCCTTGCACAACAAGGGGTCAACATACTTTCTATGGCTGGCACAGTTAGATCATACATGCAGCAATTATATGTTTTATTTCAAAAATATTCTAAACAAATACAAAGATTCAATAAAATTATTGACATAATACACTTTGGGGTATAGAGTATATGATAGAAAATTGAGTAAAACAGACATAAATGTCGTTAACTTTTTATCATGCATAACCAGGCTTGCATCTGGAAGATATAAAAACAAAAAAGTGCATTATATTTCATTGTACATCAATAAAGGAGAATTAAAGAGATTACCTCAAGGAAACGGTTCCAATGCTGGCAGTTTTTCAAATCAAGATCCGTCACATCCTTTGCATATCTGAAAGAAGGAACTACATTAGTACATTCCAATAACGTCATAAATTCAACAGATCAAGGTTATGACTTAAGAGGACAAACCTCAGAGCTGTGCGAATTAAAGAGGAATCATCAGTAGAAGGATCCCCACCATCAACAGGGTCCCAAGGACCTCCTATTGCCATCATAGAGTTGTTCTTTTTGAGAATTGCAAATCGAAGCATATTGCAAAAATGTGGTATGCGATCATAGTTTCTCTCAGATGACAGCTCTGCCAGAGCATTTTGACTAAGTCCACTCATTAAAATCAGCTGATAACAGAAGAAATAGTCAACAAATAAACAAACTGGATAACAATGATGATTAGCAATCCATTGAACATGCTTTAATGTTCTTATGGGAAATAAAAGAGCCAGGTATAAAATATAGTTCTTAGTTACTACGTCAAACAATCAAAGTTAATTAGCACATTAATCTCTTAACTGCAGGGAGACTTGAATTAGAAGTAATCAGAACAAGATACTTCCTTTGTGCAATACACGCTAAAGTGAATAATCTTGCATGGAAAAGCAAGCAAAAGAGTTTAAGCCTATGTTTGGCTCATGTTTATAATCTGTTTATACATATTCAAGCCATTTTTTATCCACATATTTCAAGGGAACTGGAAGTAATACCCACTTATCCACACACCCATTCCTGTATATTTATAATCTTAAACATTTATAAACACTTCCTAAACATGTCTTAAATGTAACCACTCGGCAGGTTTCTAACTGCAGGCCAATTGGACCCTTTGAATCTTATACTTCATCATTTCATGTTTTGTTGAGTAAATAAGTTGCAACTCAGCTTATTTATGTTTTTCTTTACATTGTTTTGGTAGATATTCTTATTTTGCATTTCGTCAAGCTTATTAGTTGCTATTCAACATTTGTATTCACGTTGTCACATTCATTGGAGCTCAGTTTCATGTCTAAGTTTCATAAAGTCTGTATTCACATGCTTTTCTCTACAAGTTTTTAATGTCTGAAAAATCTGGAATTGGTTCTTTGTTCATATTTAACTTACAGTGAATTTATTTACTTTCAGAACAGGAAGGTGCAATCTTACTCTCACAAGACTTCCGATTTCAATACAGAGAGTACAAGCAAGAGTTCTATTCTCTGATTGCCTGAGCACATTACAATCCTAGAATTAACAACTCAACACACCAAGCCTTCGCATGTTCCTTTTGTTTGAACCTCAACCAATTTTTGTCTTAACTTGTAAAATACTAGACCATCTTAAAGTGCCAGTATTGATTGTCAAACCTGTAAACGTCCGGCACAGCTACTTCGTTTTACCCTTTTTGGCACATCCAGTCCATATCATATATCTCCATTAAATATTTTTTCCTCTTTTAGCTGCAAAGAGTAGATAATAAGGCCCAATCTTCAATCTCCCAAAAGCCAGATTTTTTGGAGCGACACTTGACAGAGGGAGACTACCCTGCTGTCCTAAATTATGATACTTCTCCTGAAACATAACAAAACTAGACCAAATTGCACTCTACAAATCCTAATGCTTAAATTTCTAATGCTTGTAGAATGATAAAACCAGACTTAAATTTTCGAAGATTGCGTCCTCCCTAAAACATTATGGGTTGGATTCTAAACCTTTATGTAGTTAGGGTTTTCCATCAGCTCTATTTTCTAAAATTTGCATTGAACATTGATATGGACATGCTAGCAAATAAACAACCAGTAAGTTATGCAATTTCACTGTCCATTCATCCAAGAGTGTTTGGATCTGACAATCATAATGTACGTGCAAAAACAAAATATGGACGGAAATCCTCCAAGACATAGGCCCATCTTCAATTATATAATGCCTCATTTGACAATGTGAACCAATTTAACATTTGCCCGTCTGTTATAGAGGCAAAGTGCATAATTAATCTGTGTAGGTCAATAATGTTTTACATGGTTCTTGGAAGTTATCATAATGTATACTAACATGATCAGTTATTACAGTGTTGCTATTCATGCAAACAATTCACAAAAATAAACAAAATTTGACCTTAGCATTCCAGACAGTAGAAAGTCCTTTTGAAACTTCATTAGCCAATTCTTTAGGTGAATCACCCTGCTCCGTCACAGCCTCCTCTTCAACAAAATCATGCTCAAAACTATTTCAGCAGAGACAAAAATAGGGAATTACTTCTCTTCATTTCAGAGATTACAATGGCAAGAGCCAAAGGAGAAGAAACCGATCAACATTTGATTGAAATTTCAAATGCAACTACAGGGCTGTCCCACAGTGACAGGAACCACCAAACCTTTGGCACTAAGAAATATTCTCTTCCAACAGAAAAATACAGAAACAGAAACTAAGAAAGATGTTATAGTCCTAGCAATGCTGCAGGCTAACACATAGCTGAAAAATTATCAACTCCAGTAGTATTCATAAAGAAGATAAGAGGAGATAATAGTACCTTACAGGAGTATAGAAAGAAAGCCGAAGATTCTCCTTCGGCCAATTCACAACTACCTATAACCAATGAAAACAGTTAAGACAAATGGAAACCCTGCATTAAAAAGAGGCATTCAGATGAAAGGAACCACACCTTTGAGCACTCTGGAGATATAAAGAGCCTGGGATATCGCTTATCCAACGAAAAATAATCCCTCTCAGTTTGAACGAAACTGAATGAGCCAACCTGCAAAGTCAATAATCATGCATCAAGCGGACATAACATTGAACATGGTCAAGAGAATACTTTCACCTAGTTTTGGACAGATTACAGCTTCTTTTCCATTACATCTCCAAAAGAGGAAATTTTTTCAAGATGAATGACTAGGAAAAAAAAAATTAAGAACGGTCTTCAGCAGCAACAAAACAGTGGTACTGGAAGAATCTCTGTTTGAGCTTGTCTAACAAACAAAAGCAAAAAGGGACCGGGAAAAAGCAGCAAAGAAATGTACATCACTGATACAAGACCAGTAGGTGACAAAAGTCCAGACTCCACAGAATGACCAGCAAATATGAATCAAATATTCGCAGTTAGAGAAGTTAGAAAGATCAAAAGACCCAAAAATTACAGCCAAGCAGATCCCAGGGTATGAAAGAGACGGAAGAAACTTTAGAAGGAAAGAGCAAGATATGGACAAAACGTCTGAAACAATAGCCCTGAAATAAGGAAGAACAGCCGAAGAACGATGTCAAATGTATAGAAGCGATTGAACAAGAATTCAACAACAAAGACCTTTTAGGAACGAGTTTGAATTATCATGCAACAGCTATGCACTTGCACAGGTGTTTTTACCTTGCAGATATACTCTCTCCTCTTCTCTATAACAGGGGAATGGCGCCTTCAGCATTACATAACAACAAGTTAGGAAGGCTGCACGATAGTTAAACATATAGAACCAGAGTAGGATGCAATTTAAACAAGATCCACCTATGTGATACTTCATGACGTGGAGAGTCTCGCCGCACAGATCTGCTGTCCTTTGCAAGTGAGGAACTACGAAGCTCCCTGGAGGTTCTTGGAGGAGTTCGTTCACGCCTCAGTTCGGGTACACGTTTGGGCTCTCGACTTCTCTCCTTCGCCCTTTGCTCCCTCTCCCTTTCGCGTTCCCGCTCTCGTTCTCGTTCTCGTTCTCTCTCTCTTTCTCTTTCTCTTTCTCGTTCTCGTTCTCGTTCTCGTTCTCTACTTCTATCTCTATCTCGTTCTCGAAGACGTTCCTTCTCCCTTTCTCTAGCCTTTTCTCGCTCACGTATATAATCCCTATGGTGGTCTTTCTCCCTCTCTTCAATCTCCCGAGTATATGCACCCTTATCATCTTTACGAACATCCATTCTTGGATGACTATCACGTGCCGAAATGCTATTGGGGTAATCTAGATCAACTGATGTGCCATGGAGGCCCTTCCCTGTTCCATAGTCCCTACCGGGAGGCAAGCTCACTCCATAGCCAGGATTTGAAGAACTTTGAGCATACGCAAGATCATCCACATTTCTCTGTGGGGCTGCTCCTAAAATTGATGGAGCATGTGGTCCACCATATGATGAACCACTTAGCATTGACAAACTGCGATGTTCCTGGTTAGTTCTCCCAACATAGGAAACAGGATCTTGGGTAGGATGATGAACTGTGCTCCTTGATGCAAGATAATCAGATTGTCTGCCAGAAATTTGCTACTCAGTGCAGTAGATACGGTACTATATATTCAAACAGCACAGGTACACACAGAGTAATTCGTATAGTTACAAAGAAAATGACCGTTTCCATTCTTTAGCCTAATACATTAATTTATTCCCCATATGTATTAGCAAATTTATTTATCATCACCTTAGGTTCAAGAAAAATATGTACTATATTGGTAATCACTAAAACTGAAAATACACTACTCAAACTAAATGACATCACATTAAATAGAAGACTCTTAATTTAGCATACCTAGAGTCCCCTTCAAAAGGAGCAGATTGCAGTGAGCGAGCCTTCAGCATTTGTTCTTGTCTAAGCAGTTCCATGCGATCATATATATCAGCCTGCCGCAGAAGCAAGAATACTTTTATAGCCTAAGCACTGATTCTTGTACCATTTATTGCTAAATATATTGTTGTGGAATACTAAATAAAAATAAAATAAGGTGCAACTCAGGAGGCAACAATTGACAACAGAGACCCCCCCCCCCCAAAAAAAATAAATAAATAAATAAAATTTCACGGTCTGCAACCTGATGTTTATAGCCAAGAGCAACTGAATCAGTATATCGACCAGCAGATTCGCTTGGCATATCCCTCCCAATATACGCATTGTGTGGTTCAATATATTGGCGTCTGTCACTTGATGGATAATCAGATATATCAGGATATAATCGATCACTTTTCTGAACGTAGCCACGACTTGATGACGAAACATAGTCACCAGATGTGAACTTAGGTGAGTCAGGCACAGATGAGTCATAACCACCCCGGCTTTCCAATGCAGATGGTACAGATCCTTTTGCACCCAAAGGGGAAATCTGGTAAAGGAAAAAAAGAGAAGATACAACATGTTTAACAGATTAAAAAGCACAGATTACAAATCGAACAATTTAAAAATTATTGATCATAACAAGACAATCAGATGAATAAGTTTCTAAACATAAACTGAAATCAGATTTTAATTAGATTTCAATAAAATTTGGTTAAATTGTTGAAAAGTTGATAAAATTCATGAGTCCATGAAATGTGATAGAAAATGAGTTTGAGAAAAAATAAGTTTTAGAAAATGGGGGCCAAACATGGGCTTTGTGTGTGATTAAACTAAGCGTGTAAAAGATTCTGTAATGAAAAGTTAAAGAAAACCTAAAACATATTCACATACAAGTAGACAAGCATTTCAGAACTTTATATAGCACACGGTGTTGGAGATTAAAATCACATTTTTAGTAGATTTTGGTAAAAAGTTGAAAAAACATAAGGCTGAAAAGTTCTTAGTCCTATGAAATATGTGGTTAAAATTAATTATTGACTTTGGCTAGAATTTCTAATCTAGACCAAACAAGGGCATATTCTCTTTCTTTGATAGTACATACTAGCAGTGACTTAACCAAGCTCAATTGCCAACTGATTGACAGAGCTGTCGCATTTTGCTGGAAATGGAAGCATAAAAAAGAGTGGGAAAAGAACGTCTTATTGGATAAATAAATGTAGAAGAATGGAGGATCAGAAATCCACATAAAGGACGATGGGAAAATATAGTTATACCATTGAAATGAGAGAAAAAAATCCTGTAGTAGTTGAAAATAATACAACTATGCTTATCTAAAAAAAAATACTCTCTATTCTTCCCCCGGTGACCAAGACATTGCAAAAGAACTCCCACCAAATAGAACTTTCCCATGCTTACCCCTAAATCCCCGTAAAGTTAATGGTCATTAAGCCTTCTAAATCACACAGGGGAATCAATCTCTCCCAAAAGAACTAGAAAAATGGTACCAAAAAGTTATTTATAATACATAGATATGGACTTTTGGCTCTATATGTCTTCTCAAACAAATCATTCAATTAATTAAGAAAGATTTGTAGAAGAAAATGATTTGAGAGGAAACACAGTCTTCCCAAATAGCCTCTAAAAGGACAAGGATGATTGACCTACAGCAAGGCATACATTACCTCTTGATTCAACGGGTAGACCTTCATCTAGCATGGAGTACAAGCACTAAAGCTCAGGATTACGGTTTTTGTTTAGTGCACATGCCTGAAGGCCATATCTAACACGAGCATAATAAATAAAAATTTATTTCCCAAAAAGCAACAAGAGCTCCAGAAGAGCAACAATGCACTGGTGAAGTTATGGATCATTAACATCATACATCCCATCAACTTCAGAACTTCTAAATTAGCATCACATATATAAATTTGCGTTCCACGTTTTGTCAATTAAGATCTTGTTTGGTAATGATTTTAAACCAATTAAAATCAATTTTTTTGACCGTTATTTCATTATTCCAGCTGTCAATTTTCAAGTCTTCTTTCACAGGTAAGATCACTTTTCTCTCTAACAATCAAAAAATCAATTTTCAAAATCCCCACCAAACACCCTCTAAATTAAACTTTATTTGTGAGCATCTAATATGCAGCCACCTGATTAATTCAATTCTATCGGAATCATGCGCATTTAATATGGCTCTAATATGTAGGTAGCACCACAGATTATGAAGCAAAAGTGTAAATTCATATTGCTAAATGAAGATGAATTACAAAGTGTTGTTGAATTTTCTAGAGGTTCGGCTCTCTCCCTCCCATAATTTCCCATTTTCTATATGGCCCTAAATGAAACTACGTCCGCTATTTATAGATAGTTGCCTGCCTCCACTACTTATTCTCCTAAATCCCAAAAATGCCCCCAACTAACTAACTAACTATTAGCATGGGGTCCAATACCCTGTCTTTGAAATTCACCTTGTCCTCAAGGCAAAAGTCGGACATAATTACAAATTTTGGAATGCAGTATAGCCGGATGATTATCTTCGAACCCCGTCTACAGTCAAAGCTGAAAATTGATGTTTCAGCCCAAATGAGTGAGCAAACTTACCAACCACTATCAATATAGCATCCATGAAGACCCCGCGACCAGCTGCACCCACTCGCAGATTTTTTGAATCTTACACCAGGTAAAATGGAACATAATTGTTTGTTAAGCTGCTGTCAACCGAAACAATTACATCGTGCTGCTGTGCAATCTGCCTCTTAATCTCATGGTATTTGGAGCAGAAGACCAAACCACCAAATTTATTGAAAGCCAAAATGAGTTCCTTACCAACTCAATGTTTTCGCTATCAATTGATTCTTTAGCTTTGTTCACCTCCATCCTCTCTACAACCCCTTAATGCAGCAACGATGCTCTACAGAATTTTCCTCATCCCATCTAAAACGGAGGGCCTTCTCCTTTATTAATCTAAGCTCCGAATCAATAATCAATAAGTTGCTTGTATGGTTATGGTTGCTTTGGATTGGAAAATTTTGGGGCACCAGTTTGACATTGGGAATATAAAGGGTGTTGGATTGTGATTCAGAGAAGAACTGGGGATTATTTAGGGATTGAAGATAGGTGGGTTGCTGCAATCGTTACCAAAAATTAGGCCTGTATTGCAAATTGGACCTGTTTTATTGCTAAATTTTGGTCTTCCACCTGCTGGGCTACTAGGCCTATTGCTCCTTGGATCTAGTTGACTATATTTTAGTTTCTTCAACTTTCTGGGTTATTTCCATTGGGTGGACAACTCCATTAGCTAACCTGTAGTATTATTTCAGGTTGGAGGCCATTAATAATCCTCCTTTCCCAATCATTCTTCTTCATCGCTGGCACTGCGAAAGATTAAGATCACCAGCAATCCTCCTTTACTAAGCTCTCTTGCTGTAGGACCAAGAAGTTCTAACCTAGAAATTGACATATTAGTGATCCAATGGTGTTGCCTTGTTTTGGGTGAAATCGGTCCAACATCAAGCCCTTCAATTCGTCCCAATTACCAATGGGTTACAACCTTCTAACCACTGGAACCGCACCCATACCTCGCCGTCGAAACATGCTTTAGCAGCTTCCACTTTCTCTACCTCTAACAATCCATTTGCGGATAAAAATCTCTCTTTCTAGACACTCAGTAGTCTGGATCTTCCCCATAGAATATTGATATTCTGGGTCATCAATCCAATCGGTATCATCTTCTCGGTCTTGCCCTTTCCATCATAGCATCATCTGCTCAAATCGATTCAGTATCGAGAGCCCAGTCCCTCCATTTTTTTTGGTTGTTTCTCCCAGGTACGTGATGTTATACCAAATGATAGATATCAACATATAGTATGAAGAAAAGCATAAAATTGTATTGCTAAGTGAAGATGAATTACCAATTATAGTTAAATTTTTGCGAGGTTCAACTCTCTCCCCACCCTAAATTCCCATGTATTCCCAAATGAAACTACGCTACCCTATTAATAGATTAGTTGCCTGTCTATGCTATTCATTCTCCTAAATCCCCAAAATACCACCAATAACTAACTTTTAATATGGGGCTCTATCGGGCTCACAATGGAATCTACATAAACTGAATCACAAGTACACAGTTAATATGATAACACTATGATTAAATTCTACCGAATTGATGCATGTATAAAACATAGCCACGTGTGATTAATCTAACCACCGTGAAGCAGTTAACAGAGATATAATATCATGTAAAACAGTGATAAAAGTAGCAATATAATATCAAATTTCAGGGCAACAGTAATTTTAAAATTATTTCTACGCATGAAATACTGATTCGCTTGTTAAAATTACACGAAATCAAGGAAAGACAGTAGAATAAGCTGCCAACCTGCTGCCCAGAGGAACCATAGACAGAACTATACTGCCCACCATAAAGTGATGGTGGTGCCGCAGAATGACCGTGAGCCCTATATCCACCCGGGTCTGATTCTTGACCAGTGCCTCCTAACATCAATGCATGTCGCGAACCTAAAGACCCATCTGAAGCCCCAACTGAACTCCCTGGGAATGCACCTCCCAACTATGAAAGAACAAAATAAAAGGATAAATTCCCAGCCACAGACAAATAAATAAACATGAACCGCTTCTGTAACTTCCAGTAACAATAAAATTACATAACGAAATACAACTGGTGATTAATTAACGAAAGCTTACGTTTTGGGCGGCATAGGAAGACTGAGAAGAGTACGGTAGCTGTTGACCATAACCACTGCTTCCCCGAGAGGAATACATTTCTTGAATTATAAAATGAAACCAATCGACACAAAATTCATGAAAAAAAAAAAACACTATAAAGAGTTGTTGAAACGGTTAATTTCAGCCGACTATCAATGGTCTCAAGAACAATAAGCAATAATTTGGAGAGAGATTAAAAAATAAAACCCTAGTTTTGGCGCAGAGACGACCATATGGTGCACTGACGTGGCCCAGTAAAGGAAAATTGTGCAAGCGTGGACCAGGATGTATCGGTCCGGGACCCGGATCCAATTACAACCTGACTCACCCGCTGTTTAATTCTTGTAGATATTAAAAATAAATTTTTAGTAGATTTTGATAAAAATTATTAAAATATATGTTTGAAAAATTGTGAATTCCATATCATGTGTGATTAAAATGAATAATTGATTTTAAATTAAATTAATTTCTATCAAACGGAGACTTAGGTTTCGAACATTTCGTTATCGTGGAGCATTTTTCTTTGAACAATTTTGATATTTTTATTATAAGCGATCACATTGCTATAATGATATTCTTTGAAGCTCATCGAAATATATTAAATTAGGTAGTTATGTAACGTGAGACTGAATAAAAATGTAAGAAGTTCAAGAAAAATTAAAGGCAATCATGACTAGCTGATATAGAAACTTCAAATAAATAAATAAATAAAATTTAGAGGTTGATTTATCTTTTGCAATTATATGTTGGGTGAGTATTAACATAAATTAGTTGGTAAGGTTGTGTTGGATAGTGATGTACATTTTCAGTAATACTCGTAATCAGAATACATATATATTCTCTCTTTTCTACCCTCTCTCTATCCCCTTTGCCGGAGCCGAAGCCTCTACACAAAGCGGCGCCCACGACGACGGCGCTTTGAAACAATGAGCGACTTGATGTGGATTCAAAGAAACGATGATCTCGTCAATCGTCACTTCACTGCAGCACGTGCAGCGGCATCGCAGTTTCAGAGCGACAGCACTCGCCGCCGCTCATAGATTGGCAGATTCAACGGCAATGGCAGTGGCATCGGAGCTTCAGAGGTTTGCATTGCAATTATCAGAAGATGGTAAAGTGATGGTCTGTGTGGTTTTTGGTTGAGGTGCAACTGTGCGACTAGGTGTTGGAGTGCGGCTGCACGGCGAGGTGCTCTATCTAATTTATTTTTTTGTGGTGATTGTTGATAGTGCCAGTTGCAGATTTGGGATTTTTTTTGGTGGGGATTGTAATTGTGGTGTGGTAGAGATGAGAGGCTGTTGGTGGTGCAGTGGTGGATTTGGCTGTGGCGGGGGCTAAAACGAAACGTTGAGATGGTCACAAATTATTTGGTGTTGGTGTGGTGGCATGATGATGGCGATGGCAGAGGCAGTGGCAATCGATGGTGACAGTGGTGATGGAGTGGGATGAATAGTGGTGAGGTATTGGTAGTTACGTATAATGATTGTTATCGATAAATAACGTGGCCAATGAAATATATAATTTGTGACTAATAAATAATGTATGATCTAAAAATTCGTTACATTATGATCAATAATTTAATAATTTGTGATCTATAAATAATTTATGACCAATTAATTTGATATTTTTGTAATCATAAAATAAATTGTGACTAATAAAATTTATGAATTGTGATCAACATAATATGTAATTTATTGTTTTGATAAATTTATGATCGAAAAATAAGTTGTGATCTATAAAATTTATAATTGTGACTAATACA